AGGGGCAAGCGTTTGAGCCCCAAAAGTATGTGTGGGGTCTTAGAGGCAGGTACCCCAGGACCCTGGGGTATGCACAGGGTCCCAGGAGCTCGCGTGTGAGCCCTAATATTCGGCTGGTGGCTACTAGAACCAGCATGGGGATTCTTAGAGGCTGCTTAGACCCACATTTCATGGGTCATGAGTCCCAAGAGTCGATGTAGGGGCCATAAAAGCCGGTGTAGGGCCCATGGCCCCATAAGTTCCGACATTGAGACTCTCAGAGGCCGGCGACGGGGCACCAAGAGCAGATAAAGTGCCTCAACAATCCGACATGGGGCCTGAGAATCAGTGTGGAATTCCAGGAGCCTGCGTGAGCTCTCGGAGACCTTCGTATTTCGTAAGGTCCACAAAGGTCGTTGGATACTCTGAATCTGAACTCTGCGGGGCCCTCAGAGGCCAGCATGTCTCCTGGCACCTGCATGCGTTGAGTTGAGACCCTCCGAGGCCGTTGTAGGGCTCTTCAGAGGCCAGCGTTGGCCCTTGAAACCTTCGTTAGGCCCTAGAAGCCGTCAAGAGGGCCCTCAGAGGTCAGCATGGCCCCTGGAGCCTGCCTGCGTCGAGACTCTCAGAGGCCGTCGTGGGGCCCTCAGACGCCAGTGTGGGCCTTTGGAGCTTGCGTTGGGTCTTAGAGACCATCGTGAGGGCCCAGAGAGGTCGTCGCCAGGGCCCTCAGCCCCTCAGGGACCGTCCTGGGGTCCTCAGAAGTTGTGAGGGCCTTTAGAAGCCTTCGAGAGGATCATCAGAGGTCGTCATGAGGGTCCCTGGCCATATTGAGGGTCTTCATGGTCCCTAAGATACCTTTGCAGGGCTCTCAGAGGCCTTGGTAAGACCGCTAGAGGCCATCGTTGTTAGGGCCCTCAATAGACCGTTGCAGAGCCCTCAGATGCCAGCACAGCCCCTGAAGCCTGGTTGTGTTTAGGCCATCAGAGGCCGTCGCTGGGCCGTCTGAAGCCAAATGGGCCCTCAGACTTGAGTTGGGTCTAGGGCCGTCACAAGGGCCCTCAGAGACCGTCGTAGAGGTCCTCAGAGGCCAGTGGGGCCCCTGGAGTCCTGTGGGACCCTCAGCGGTCGTCATGAGGGCCATTGGTGGTCGTTATAGGGCCCCAGGGGACAGAGTTCGTCGTGAGAGCCCTCAGAGATCATCGTAAGGGCCCTCAGAGGCCGTCATAGGGGCCCTCAGAGGCCAGCGTGGCCCCTGGAGTCTCCTTGGGGCCCTGGAGTCTCTGTGGGACCCTCAGCGGTCGTCATGAGGGCCCTTAGTGGCCGTTGTAGGGCTCCAGGGGACAAAGCCCTCAGGTGGGAGCCCTCAGAGATCGTCATAAAAGGGCCCTCTGAGGCCGTCGTGGGGGCCCTCAGATGCCGCGTAGAGCACCAAACGCGGCTCGGGACACTTCTGGCCGGTGTGGGGGCCCCAAAGACTAGCATGGGGCGCTCCTGACCATAATTGGACATCCCGGATGATTCTACATCAGTGTTCGTTTTCCGATCACTGGTTTTCGGGAGAAATGTATTGGATGGTGCGACGGGCCCCTTGTACGGATTTTGGGGGTGCAAAAGGATATGTTTGCACCCCCCATGTTTTTCGATGGGGGTGCAGCTGCACCCCCTGCACCCCCTATTCCGCCGCCACTGCCATCGTGAGGTGGAGAGTCCTGTGAAAAATGTGTCCCATGGTGTCTGTCTAGAGCTGCAAATCGAACGGCAGGTAACATATATGGGCGTGGGAATCAGGTTGGGAATATGTGAGAAAAGTGCCTTTGAATCGACCATTCCGTCAATTTGTATTCCATCCACAGTGGAGGCGCTATAAGAACAGGTTCATTGCAGGCTGAATACTGAGCGGCAATCTGGAGGCCGCTACAATCTACATAGTCTGACCTCTGGGTCGGTAACACAATTTACATAGGGTAACTGTGGGGAAAACGCACCCCTGGGTTAAACGCCTCCCCTAAAAAAATCGTAGATCTTATCGACGGATAGGTGTTTTATCTTTGCTTTCAGAACAGTCAGCTGCTTGTTTACGTAGTTCTCTATTTCCGGTTCTGCGTCTTGAGGAGCAGCGTGGGTAGGTGCTGATGTTGGTTTTGGGTGCTGTTTTTGTTGTTTTTACAGAAGATTCCTAAGCTTTTGATGCCCTCTTTATATCACAAAACTTGCTATTGTGCACATCACTCAAAACTGCGTTTTATTGTCATTCTGTTGAACTTATTATGCTGCGGTGTTAGTGGCGCGTTTTTTGTCAATATTTTGTTGACCGGAAATGGAGTGAATGGGGAAAGACGCCTACTCGATGCATGGGGCAAGACGCCCCCAGTTTTCTGAAAGGGGGCGTTTTGCACGGTGGTGAGAGTGCAGGGTAGCGCCGTGTAGGTCGGGGCCGAAAAGGCCTCTCCCTGTCCTTTTTGGCTGATATATCCTAAACGACTGTAGATATCGTCACCAAACTTTCAGGACTCCTCCGGGCATCCATTTTACACATTGCAACAACATTTTATTCCAAAGGCTATGATAGGTTGACCACAAATGACGTCAGAATGACGTCAAGTTCTGCCATGTTCATCATTTTCTGTTGATGAATGGGGTGGGGGCGCTTTGCACATGGGTGTGGGCGTATTACCCAGGGTGTGGGGCAAAACGCCCTTTTGTAAGGGTATGCGGAAACCTTTTTGGGGGGTCAAATACCACACGCAAAAGTCTTTTCTTGGTCTCAAAGCGTAGTAAAAAGAATGAGCTACATGATGGTGCCCAAAGGTTTGAGTAATCTGTGTTGGGCTGAGTGTCAGAAGGTTTCGCGCTTAATGGGGGCGTTTTTGACCTATTCACCCTACATCCCAGCTCGGAAATCCCTAGGCAGAGGAGCAGTTACATATAGGAATGCAGAATCGAGTGTGCCGTGTGACTACAGGGCCTCGTTTCATAAAAGGAATTACTTACGGCATTCCGTCAATTATGCCAGATTTGGCGTATTTGATGCCAATTCGGTTTCATAAAGCCGGAGACCGGAGTAATTCACGCCATCGAAAGTACGGAGCTTCATTTACGGCAAATGCTCGATTCCGGACCAATTGATGCCATTTGGGTTTCATAAAACGACGTAATTAACGCCAAATATTTTATCAAGCTCTTGATATCAGTGGTGTAAACTACGCACAAAAACGTTGCGTGATTTTGAATTAATGTGAAGATTCGAAGCTAATTTTTAATATATTTTATAATGTTGAGCCCGGTGAGGAAGAAAGAACAGCCAAAATGAGAAAAAGAAACTGCAAATCTTCTGTACCAGTCGCTTTTTGTGGCCACTACCGGAATTTTGTTTATTCGCCACGCCGCGCCACTTTCGTAGTTAGGCACTTCTGCTTAGCTGGCTTTCTGCTGTTTTTAATATATTGTTTTAATAAAGAATGGTCATCAATATCAATTTTGTTTTTTCATACATAATTTTTAATATTTGAATTCAACATAATTGTTTTATAAATTATCGTAAAAAAATAGCTGTTGACATGAGATTGTAATTTGTAGGACGCTTGATAAATTACGGTAACTACGCAAATGTGCTTAGTTACGGAGGTGTAAACAATTCCAGTTGTGGCTTTGTGAAACGGATTTATTTGCACTCCGTAGTTTGAAAGGGTGTGAATTACGGAAAGGTGTAAGTTACGGCAGAGTTTTATGAAACGAGGCCCAGGACGTAGCAGTTTTTTTTTAGGATCCAGCCCGATCGACGAAAAAATCTCAGTCGATTTGTCAATACTAGTTTCACGAAATAAAAGCTCAAACAGAAGCATTTACTTTTATCGACGTCACTTTACTTAGACACGAAGAGTCATTTGACATTGTAACGTGCGCTCTGTCAGTCGTCCCAGTCAGTCTACTTTTCACCCCGCGGTGACTCAGCCGCCTATCTCGGCAACCGGTGCCGAGAGCGCGCCGGCACGACTTTCCAGCGTTACTTCTCGTGGGGCGTGGCCGGTGGCGACGGCGTGTGCAATACGTGAACTGGCACAGGCGTACTTCGCCGACACAGTGCTGTTTGAGGTGTTTTCCGGCTCCCAGCGCAGCGGTCGGAAATAGAGATAATTACCTGCTCACACCGACGGCTGACTAAGCACCAGCAGGCTGTCAGTGCAGCTGCGGTACGGACGACAGACTGAAAGTCAGGACGTTTGATCCCATGGGATCCAACACTTGCACATGGTGAAGATTCCGCTTTATCATGACCTGCCCTTCACTGAGTGACCACTGACCAGCCCACAGACTTCACCCGTATGTGTGAATGCCGCACTATGGAAGTGAAAGTGCGCAGACCGCTGGGTGAATGTGCCTGTCGAGCCCCGCTCGGCCGAGGTCAGGCGACCTTCGCCCTGGCATTGCCAAGGAGATGCTACGTCTCACGGTCTCTGTCACATGCTATTGTCCTCCTGTGATCGTACCAAGATGTCATCGGTGTGGCTGTTGCGTCTCGCATCAACCAAACATTCTGCAGTTCCGTTCTTCATTGTCATTTTTCAAACAACATGTGTTGATCTGCTTTCCAGGTAGCATTCGACATAATGAAACGGGGCGAAAACGGTCAATCGTTAAAGTTTGACACCATTTTTCTATGTTATGCTCGGGTCCGAAGTTTATATTTTCAACGCAGTTTCCCCCAAAAAGATAAGGACTTTCGAGCAATTGTCATGCTTACTTTTATACCACTGACCGGACCGCTGACCTTATGACATTTCATGGAAGGTACGCAGTTATGGCGCAGTTTTGTATCGTTTTAGTGAGGTACCATAGACCTGACGACCAGCCTGACCTTAACATAGCCTGTAGTGTTACTCGGGTGCATCCAATATAAGCCCGGTCCATGGGCTTCCCCATTTGCAGCTCTACTATATAATTAATCACCAAGTCGCATGACCAGGACCGCTTCCTTATCTGCTCCGGAGCGCCGACCTCGCTGGCCTGCCTCCTGGACCACGTGACCCGGTATCCAGTGTGCGGCACCCAGCCGGAACTCAAGGACACGTCCGGAGGCCAGGTGCAGCCGCCGTGCCGCCGCCGTCTCTCAGTCGCGCGCCGCGCCGTCGCCGGGACGCCCGTGTCTCCGCTGGCGCCGCCATGAGCCTGCTGCTGACCCTGCTGTGTGTGAGCGCGCTGCCCGTGGGCCGCTCGGCGCCCTCGCCGCGCCCCTACCCGGCCGTCGAGTTCGACGAGCTGCTGCCGCGCGTGCTCGCCGACGACGTGCTGCTAATCGATGTGCGCAACCGCTCTGAGCTGCTGGACCCGGGCCGGATCCCCAACTCGCTGAACCTGCCGCTACCCGAGCTGGAGCGCGCGCTGGCCATGTCTCCGGACGAGTTTTTCGAGAAGTACGGCTTCGTGCTGCCGGCGCCGGATCAGGAGATGGTGCTGACGTGCCGCTCGGGCCGCCGCATCCAGACGGCCGCCGCCCGGCTCATCCCGGACGGCTACACCAACGTGAGACTCTTCTACGACTCGTACAAGGGCTGGGTGGGCCGCGGCGCGCCCGTCTCCCGCCAGCTGGCGCCCGAGGAGCTCGTCAGCCGCCTGGAGGATGACAACCAGCAGGTCCTCGACCTGCGGCCTCGCGTGGCCAGACGGAAGCGGCAGGTGGGCTACCTGCAGCCGGTGGAGGGCAGCAACGCGCTCTCCATCGACGAACTCGATCTGGCCCTGCGCCTGACGCCCGGTCAGTTCAGAGAGAAGTTCGGCTTCGAGAAGCCGCCGCAGGAAGCGCCGCTGACGGTGATTGCCGAGGACGAGAACCAGACTCTGGACTCGCTGGAGCTACTCAACGGGCACGGCTACTACGACCTGGGCCTGTACTTCGGCCCGCTGCAGGAGTGGCTCCCTGAGAAGGACGCGCCTCTCGTGTCGGGTACCATCGACACCACGAGTACCATCGACACAAAGTGAGGCGCGAGAGACCGTGCGCTGTGAGATGACCAGGATGGTCGCAACTCGTCTGCTTCGAAAGCTGTTATGGTTTGGTGTCTCGTTAATGTAGTGTAGAACAACGAACAGTGCTGCATCGCCACCATATATGTGGCCGGTAAGGCCCTGACGCGCTAAACGTGCACCCGTGGCAGGTCTCTCATCTTGCACTCGTCGATTTCGACACCGGTATGACCGAGCTGCCACGGCGGACCGACTGCAGAGTCTTATCTCCCAGATGGGCGTGAACTGTCATCGAGGAGTGTGACAAGCATGTGTTACATATTCGTAAAAGATCTTATCGTAATGGGGTGTGTTCTAAAATCGTTTTGTGTGTGATTTTTAATGTTTTTAAATGAACCATACATGCAGATCTATACCTATGTCTTTTGAGTGCAAAATAGGAATAGGATGTCCGTAGCACATGAATCGTTGAAAGACGAATTGTTGAAAGATTGTTTTGTGAGAGCGAGACCATAAAATATGATAACTCGGCAGTTAAAAATGAATAGTGTAGTTTTCAGACTCCGCTCCCGCGCCCCGTAGGGGGGCCGAAACGGCCCCCCTGTCCTTTTCGGTCGATATCTCCTAAGCGGCTGGAGATATCGCCACCAAACTTTCAGGACCCCTCTGGTCATCAATATTACACATTGTGACCAAAAAATTTTCCTGATAGGTTGGCCACAAATGACGTCAGAATGACGTCATGTTCTGTCATTTTCGACCGAAAAAAGACCTTCGCGAGAAGACCTGTCAGGCCTACAGCTTTGACGATACAGAAAAATGATTAAGACATAAAAGGTGTAGAATTGACAGGGCTACAAAACTGCCATCTCGGATTTTTGAAAGTTTTGAGTTTTGAACCCCAAAAATAAAAAAGCATTTTTTTGGATACATTAGCCGAGAAATTCAAAAAGTTTTCGAAAAAACCGGAATATATGTGATAGTACCTCCCGTCTTCTATCTACATACCAAATTTTAGATCGATACCTCGTTTTTTGGCCAAGTTATAGCGCGAAAAAAACTGTTCAAAAATGATGACGTCAAATTTTCAAACTCAATTTTTGGCAATTCTAGACCTCGTAGAGCAAAACAAAGACCACCATTAGACTCCACGTGACGAGCTGCATCGAATCGATGTCCATTTTATGCGAAAATATCAACTTTGAAATTTGAGCTAATTTGACCTGACCTTGACCTGACCTTCACCAAAACGTGACCTAGGCTGGCCCCAAAGGCTGTCTTACCCACATAATCGCATTTGTCATGTAAAATGGACCATAAAACATGTATCACACGACACTTTCATATTGTGACCCCCGGTGACCTAACCTCGCTGTGACCTGACCTGGTATCAGTGACTTTAGATAGCAAAGTATGTGTTTGACGAACAATGTACCATCGATGGTTTTCAATAAATTACCAATCTACTCGATTTCACAACACATTTCTTGAAATGCCTGTGAACGGTGAAAATCTGACCTTTGACCTGACCTGTGACGTCATCGGTTTGACCTAGGTCAATGAAAGTTGGTCACAAGGTAGTTCCCGGGTGGGGCTAGCGAACGCCGTTTGAATTTTGAAAATCGGCGGTAACTTTCCGAGATCTTAGGGGGGCCGAAACGCCCCCCCCCCCACCCCACCCCTACGGGTGGTAGGGTCCGCCGGTAGCCCTACGGGGCGCGGGTTAAGCTGGGATTAGCAAGAAAACATCGATGTTTTAGGACATGCAAAACGATCAATGCCGACTTCACTTATTTTTGTGTAAAGCGACAATGCATTTCCATGCTACTGTCTGAAATAAGACAAACTACGGAATGTTGCCCTGAAACTTCATCAATTTTTAGAATCGGTTCATGTACAGGCCACAGGCGTAAGTGTTTGCCTATAAACATTATGGCCGTTTTTCCTGAGTGTCTACAACTCAGCGATGGCTAGGTGAGAGCCCGCGTACTAGCGATTTAGCTTTAGCGCCCCGAATCGCACTTACATCCCACTTACATTCGATGACCACTCTTCTCCAGACTCCTCCAGTGGTCACCATGGCGACAGGCGCAAACAATATCAGCCCACCACCTGACTTATAAGACGTGACGACGTGATGCTGATAGGCACGTTCCAAGCCGCCGCGCCGTCCGCCTTGCCACGAGCACTGTCGTCTACAACGCGCGGGGCGGGTCACGGGTCACTCAGATGACTGACGAGTGACGACCCTTGGCCGGTAGGAGGGTAGAGGTCAGCGTCACGAAAAGGCGCGTGCAAACGTGCTGCAGCACTTGGCCAAACAAAAGATAAGCATCAGTTTAAAAGCAGCAGCACAGATCCATTCGCTGAATATGTGACACTGAGCGGTATTCAATAGGAGACTGTGAGCTGTAGCTAATGCATCGACAAAAACAGGTGAGATAGGAATCTTACCTGTGGCGCGCCGCTGTCTTATCAACGTTAGGAGTATGCCTACTGACTACTACATAGATAATAGTGGCTGTGCCCGTGGATTAAGAAGCAAGGTTATGCCATACCGTTTATGAAATTGAAAGTAACATGCGATAACCATCTACTATGTATTTATCTGTTTTGGCTTCCATTACATAAATCACCCTGCCTTTTGGATATTTGAAACACGTTTCGAGAGACATGCAGGGCTATCGTTGAGTCATATGTGATCTAAAAAGCATGGATCTCAGGCCAGTTTTACCAGCATACGAATCGCCGGTTGCGGTTATTCATTATTTTCTTTAGTCGGATGCGGCCTACGAGCTTCAACAGCGACGTCGTGAGAAAATAGTCGCTAATGTAAAAACGTCAGCCAATCTGATATGTTTTACATCAGCATGTTTTCGTGTGGTTGATTTCACTTGGGGACGACTTTTAGGAATAAAGACGAACCGCGACCGGCAATTATTATGTTGTTTAAGTTGGCCTGTGATCCAGTTTCAACCATCGGCAGCCCATCAAGTCTCTGCAATCTGACTTCAGCACGGTAGCTTTTTGCTGTCTCGATAGCGTCATCGATTGAGCAAGCGATCACGGTTTTTACACTAGGTCGCCGCCGACAACTTTCAGTGTCGGCAAAGAAGTGGCCGCCGGCCCGCTCAGCGGAGGGTGGCTGGGCGACCTCCGGCCGGCCCCCAGTCGGCGCCGGCGGGTGTGGTGGTGACCTGGCACACGGAGCCGAGTCGGTCTGTACAGGCATACGGCTGCCCTGCCGCCGGCTACAACCGTCCTGAGTGACCTGTCGTGCACAGCTGACCTGCCGTGGAGTACCGCTGACCTGCCGTGGAGCGCAGCTGACCTGCCGTGGAGTACAACTGACCTGCCGTGCAGCACAGCTGACCTGCCGTGGAGTGTAACTGACCTGCCGTGCAGTACAGCCGACCTGTCGTGCAGCACAGCTGATCTGCCGTGAAGCACAGCTGATCTGCCGTGGAGCGCAGCTGACCTGCCGTGCAGCACAGCTGACCTGCCGCTCCTGTACCGTGATACATGTGGTCTGCGTGCTACAAGGACTGACCTGCACAGAACAAAGCCCGAAACTGTTGGCAGCTGAGAGAATCGTTACGCTCAAAGACTCATAAACTGCGCTGTGCAACGAGTGAATTCGATCTGTGTGATGGTCATGTCAGGTGACTTTTCAACCGGTGTCGTGTTATTTTGTTCGGTCAAGTGCTGAGAAGAATGGCAACCTTATAAACTGGAGACACCAGCGCGCGCTTGACCTCTCGATGATTTGGCGCCATGTCTAGCAAGGTAAGAACAGAAGAGCTCGCAGATGTCGACTGCTATTGTGCGACTATTGTCATTTAATTTCTTCATGAAAGGCGTATTATTTTGAAGTCTTCATCTTCATTATTTTGAAGCCTTCAAGCATATGCCCAGGGTCACGCCTATTTGACGCCTATGGGCTATGGTGTTGTCGAACAATTCGAACTAAATCCGTCTGTTCGGCCTTCGGAGGTTACTGGCAGTGTTCGTAATGGGGGCCGCGCCCGCCCATGGGCCGGGTGGGACCAAATCCAAAAACACATTTTTTACGGAGCGAGCGAAGCGAGCGGAGTCTCATACTGAATTAAGGGAAAATCCTGAGTATGAGCGGCCGGCCGGCCGGCCGGCCGGCCGTGGGGACGCTCTTCAAAAGCTAATATCTTAGGAACGGGACATCCGATTGACAAGCGGTCTTCTTTACTGAATGTCACTTGGACGTAAAAGTTATGTGGTGTGATGGCCACCATGCGTTCTTGCCAAACACCGCACGTGGCGCGTGGTAAAGTTGGACATTTTTTAAGAACCCCCAAAATTGCAACCTCAATAACGGCACAACGGTTGGGCCGATTGAATTGAAACTCGGTACACAGTTAGGTCTCCATCAGATAATTCAACTGCATGTGTTAAGGTTAGGGTGCTACAGCACGTGCGCACGTGCAGGGGGCGCTCCCAGATCTCGAGAACGGCTGGGCCGATTGCGCTCAAATTTGGTACACGGTTGGGGACCAGTTAGTAGGGTGCTGTGCAAAAGTCAGTTTGGACCCCGCTTGCACGTGCGCACGTGCAGTGTGCCGCTTCCAGATCTCGAGAACGGCTAGGCCGATTGCGCTGAAATTTGGCACATCGCTAAAGACCGGTTAGTAGGGTGCAGTGCACAAGCTAGTTGCAGGTACCCCCTCGCAATTTCTCACGTGCAAGGCCCATCCTCTCGCTCGCTCCGTTGGTCGCCCAAAAGGCGTTTTACTGGTGATAGGTATTTGATTTACTAGCAGCAGGGATGCGGAGCCGGAGCCGGAGTCGGAGCCGGAGCCGCCGGAGCCGGCATATTTTGCCCGGAGCCGGAGCCGGAGCCGGAGCCGTGAAACAATATAGCCCGGAGCCGGAGCCGGAGCCGGAGCCGCCAAAAAAGGGGGCGACTCCGGCTCCTTTTTATGTTTTGAAGAGGAAAAAAATAATTGACCTAGTTCGGTTTGACAGTACAAGGCAGTAAAACATATGGTACTTTACTTACGTCATGGGCCATCAAATGAATGAAAAAAGCCGAATATCCCCAGTATCCCACAGTACGCAATCAACATCAACTTCTTGTCTGCTCCTCCCCCCCCCCCCCCCCACGTCTACTGCATCCCCAGAGCATGAGGACCGGTCATCAGGTGACGGCCATTGTTTTCAAGCCAGTGCAGTGGACTGCGACTCCCAGCACCGTCTCTTCCCCTCCCCCCCACTCCCACCCCCCAATGCACCCGAGACTGGTGTCAGCTTACGATGGTTCAGTGAACTCCAATTCGCGGCGACTGCGTTTCCAATGCCATCGCTTCCTAGTCCCTTGTTCTGCCAGTTCTCTCCGAGGTGTGTTTGCGCGGGGACGCGGTGAGCCGGTCATGGCAAAGAGTAACGCGTATAACCAATCCAATTTTTCTTCCACCCGTATTTAATTGAGTGCATAGGGGATGTACTGAGTCGGAGCCGGAGCCGCCGGAGCCGGAGCCGCCGGAGCCGGACTATTTTACTCGGAGCCGGAGCCGGAGCCGGAGCCGC